TCGCTTAAGGCGTTCAATCCGCCAAAATACAAAGATTTAGGGACTGCTTTATGCCGAGCATTATTGGCATTACTAAAACAGCAGAAAGACTTGGCGCTTATGAAGCCGAGCAGGCTAGGGCTAAACTACGGTAAAACACGGTACACTTACCTACACCTAGGGAAGGATTCATAGGGAATCCTCCCAAATACTGCAACCCATTCGCGGTTGCAATAAGTTTTCATCTTCTTTACAATACTTTTCACAACGTAACTTTTTTTAACTGTCTGCATATATAGTATTTCCTGAAATATACATCTGTGTCTGTCCATCACATCTAATAACATAATATAAGTAAATGGTGTGTGTGTGTGTGCAATAACTATCGGGTTGTATGAGTCTATGATTCCTTGTTTATAGTAAATACTTAGGTAAGGATAAACCATTCCTACGACATAACTTTTATTAATAATAAAAAATTTCTCCGCATTTTTAGATATAAAAACTCGCACTGGACGGCCATAAACTTTGGAATTCTTCAATGGAAAATAAACGATGAAAAGAAAATAAGTTATATTTACGGCATACATAGCTACAGTTTGGTATTTTTCATACATACACACTTACACATACACTAATGCAAATATTTACTTGATAGCGCAGAATATGTATGTATGTGTATTTATGCGCTTCTACTTTGTAAACAGTTAAGAGGACGCGATCTCGTATCAAATCGATTAAAACAATCTACGCCTGTACGTGTATTGAGAATGAAAGACCAAACGGACAAATTTACTGCTAATTAACGACATTTGCTGTTAGTTTGAATTTTTAATGAAATGTTCGACCATCTTGTCAGTCAGTTGTCTCCAAATAGAAATGGCTGTCAAGTGACCGTTAACGGAACAGCGCTACCTCTGTTGCGGTTTTCTAAGGTAATGTTAAAGGACGTTATTGTTGATAGTTCTCTCAATTTTTTTTCCTCTCTTATCCTTGCAAATATTACACAAATTAGAGGTGAAGATGACGTGATTCTTAGCTAGCGTCCATTTCAACAAGTGTATCAATTACGGCCGTTCTATTTTCAGTTGGCAAAGTTGACTTTGTTTAATATGAAAATGCAATATATTGTATCCCTGCTCGCTTCTGCTAATGTAGCTGATTACGAAACGAGAAAGGAATGCTTCGGCATAACATGATTTTATTTATAAACTTACAAGCAATTTTCCAATTAAAGCAAAAGTTTAATTTTAATCCAATTAAGATGTAATTCAGAAAAAAAAAAAAAAGGTTTTTCTGAAATATTAACTTGAGCCCTTTTGAAACCCTTTTGGGTACAATGACTTTTTTTATATTTGATCAGTAGAACTGAATTGCATTTTATTTCCTTTACGCCTTAAACAACTTATCCACTTATCTTAAGGTAACAAGTACTCTCTTAAGCATTAGAAATTTATTTCTTTACACCCTATTATCGTAGAATGAAGTATGTGAACAAGGCATAGTGTCGTTCAATATTTTTGCGACTTAAACACAGTCATCAATCATCACTTTAATTACCACTACAATTATTATTGTTCGCACTTTTTTGCACGTACGTATGTGCACATGCGTGACATATTGACAAATAGCCACTTAATTAGATTAAAAACGTAAAATAAAAAAAAATAAAAAAAAAAAACTCTTAAATAACTTAAAAATAGACAAACAACGGCCAACGGCAAAGCCATCGTGAGCACTTAACCGTTTTTGATTACATTAAAACAACGTGAAAATATTGCAAAAACTTATTTTCAATTTGTTAGTTAAGGTCAAGAAAAAGTTTTTTTCCAATTTATTACAATTTATAATCCGTAGCTGACCGCATAAATCATGCATCATATCCCAATATGTGAATGCAGTATAAGCCCAACACCCTCCCTCTCCCTCTATCACGATAGAGAGGTGCTCACAATCAGTAAATCATTTTCTTAATATTTTAGTTATTGTTTTCCAACTCTACAAGTTTTCATTTAGTTTTGCAGATAATTGAATTAATACAGAATGGACGCAAATAAATCTCTGCCAAATAATACATACATAATACATATACATGAAACTTTATACCGCATAACATGACAAGAAGAAGAAGAAGAATTATTATTATTAATTGCAAGAAACTATATAGAATTATAGAGAGAAAAGTTGAGTCAAGTCCATGCTTGGTAATACCGCTTCCTGCAAAACTAATTTCCGATCCAGTTACAACGACCATCAGTCAGCAAGCAAGTAAACTAAATTCGCCGGACGACGAATCTCTAATATCCGATATATCGCATTGATGCAGAAGAACCAAAAAATATTTTATATGTATGTCAGTCGGTGAGTTAGTCGAAGTCCTGCCTAAATGCGAATGTTAGTCAACCCTGGAAAATTATTATTCCATTTATGTGTTATAGGTTTTAAGTTACGGGTTTTTTTTTTTGCGTTTTGAGCGGATAGTGCTTGCTTTCAAACTAGATCTGCTGGCCATCAACGAAAAGTTTGTAACTAACCAACTTTGTAAGTCGAGTATTACAACCACGTATGTATGTAGTGTAACAAGATTACATATAAAAAAAAGCATAATTTTTTTTTTTTTTTTTTTTTTTTGCCAAATTCGACTTCATTGATCAACGTGTCATCTTTGAAGGGCGACGTAGTCAGAATAACACTTCTCTAACATTTTAATGCCGATTTGTCAATGGACGACTTGTCAAAACCATCAAAATACGCTTCAGTTTCCATCATGTAATCTTCATGAACCTGTTGCCCAGCACCATGCTATAGAGATCTGCAAATACAAAATTGTCGTTGGATGTGCGAAAATTTCAAAATTAGACAACAATAGTTACATTTATTCAGTATAAGCAAAAATACAGCAATCGTAGTAGAAAGGCCCGGCGGCGGCGAAAGTTGGGATAGAATCGAATGCTAACCGCATTAGTGGCGCGGCTTCGAAGCGCACTTCGTTCGTGCGTTCTGCTCTACTTTTAAATTACGTACAACGAACACATATATATATATATATATATATATATATATTTCGGGACAGAATTGCGAAAAGCTTATGGCTTAAAGCACTTAACGGTAAGGGACAACTTTTTTCCACAAATTAGTAATAGATTAGTGGTAAAAATAGTAAATTGATTCCAAACCTTTCATCCTTGAGGGGCCTTTGATAGGGTGTCGCATTGACTTTTCGAAGTCAACTGCTGCTCTGCTAGAATGCCACCGCCCGGATCGTTTATAACTTGTATCTGTGGGTGCTGTCAGTCTGGCGCGCTCTGCTGTGCCTCAGGGCTGGATCGTTGGCCCCTGACTCTTCACCGTGTAGGTCAGTGTTTTTTTTTAAATGTCCAATCTGGATTTTATTTGCGAGGAGTGTTGATAATTTGGAAGGATATCTATCGAATATTGACTACTGCATATACCGCTGGCGGCTGCGAATGAATGGAATGTGAATTGGGCTAAATCATTTGCGTTAACGTATCGACCCCCGACTGTACAACTAGATTTTGCTTTAAGAGTTGGCAGTGCCAATGGTGAAGTTGTAACTAACTTCAAATACCTGTGGATGATTATCGATAATAAAGTATGCTTGCTGCACATATAAACTCCCTGTGATCTTGGGTCAATTTACTACTTGGAAAGTTATTTTCCTTGAATATAGTTAGAAATGTATTCTCCTTGAGGCGGTATGGCCATATCTCAGGTTATGTTCTACGTTTTCTAGGTTGTTCTTTTTCGTTAATTTCATTAAAATTAGACTTCTCGCTAACCGTTACTGTATTATCCTACGGGAGGTCAGTTCGCAATAACCTTCTGTTAATAAATTCTTTCAGGTCAGAGTTATATGAGCTTATAGTTCCCCGCCTAAGAAGTTACGACAATTTAGATGCTCTTATCTCACTTACAAATTAGCTAGCTACTTAGTATTGCGTTGGAGGTGTGATTGTAGTATCCCGCCCTAGCGCCGGTTAGCCTACGGACCAACGCATTTCGAAATGCATAACGAAATGATTGCTACCCTCTTTTAGGCTACTAGGCTACTAGTAATCATTCAGTGCGAAATCTAATATTCGCACTGAATTATTATGTAATAATTCGAATACTTCGAAGTAAAGCTACATTTGCAGTGAACAGTTCACGAACGTTTTTTATTGTAATGAATTATGTCAACTAAATCGGTATGAAATTTTTTGATTCCGTTCAAAAATCCTTATTTAAATATTTCCACCCGATTTCCGGACCCATTTAAATGTGCAACAAATGTGCTGAAAATGTAAGAATACAACTGTTGCGGACGCAACCGCAGTAGGTGGTAGAATACACGTGATTCCCGTGATAGAGGTGAATATAGATGACATATTTTAGTTTGGCCGTACCAGAGTCTCAAATTTGGGTGTTCTCTCATATCCATTTTTCGTTAACACACCAAATTTAAAAAAATTTTTAAAAATAGTCCCCATAAGCAAAATTTGAATTTGAAAGCGAGAGTTGTTTGAAAGGTATTTTTGTAAGGAATCGCGAAATATCCACAAGAACATTTTACATTTTTTTATATGGACGGAGCAGGCTTTCAAATCCAACTATATATTAATTTTAATTATTTAACAGAGCTCTGTTAAGGTGTTAACAGAGTTGTATTATTTATTTATTAAGGTAAGTGGACTTGCTACTTAAATTCGAATTTATCCTGATCCCCTTCTAAACTAACTGCCAACTTTATTAACACTCAGACAAAATGCTTCGTGTTCACATGGCCTTGATTTGCAGTCCGTAGAGATTACAGTTGTTAGAAAGCAAACGATAAAAATTAATAATTTAGATTGCATAGAATTTACAGTTGGACAGCTTTAGATATGGCCGTTTAGTTCTTGTTGCAATTGAACCCTTTTTAGCCAGCGCAATGAATCATCTGTTGTGCAGATTACAACCCCTTGTGATTGTTTTTTGTTTCTTTGAGAACAGCTGTTTAAAACGCGAACGGAAATAACGGTACTAACAAAATATCAACTATATAGCAGTAAATTAATAATTTTAGTTTGGAAAAAATGTTAATAATTCATCAGAAAATTACTAATAAAAATTTTTCATATATTTGGCAAAAGTTTATTAAAAGGAATTTAACAGTTTTAGGCATAGAAACGTCGTGTGACGATACCGGCATAGCGTTGATTCGCCATGAAAATAACGAAAATAATAGAGTTTTGGCTAATATTTTGAATTCACAGCAAAGCTTTCATATAAGGTGCAGTGAATGCAAATAATTTTATTATGATAATATTGTTCATGCTTTTCTAAAGATATGGAGGAATTATACCACCGCGAGCCCAAGATTTACATCGTGCTAAAATTGCCCACGTCTTCGAGGAATGTTTACAAGAGGCTCAAATATCTGCGCAAGAAGTTGACGCGATCGCGGTCACAACCAAGCCAGGTAAGATTTATTCTTATATAAATTGCGGGAATTTCTATTCTATTCATTATAGGCTTACCCTTAAGCCTATTGGTGGGCTTACGTTTTGCCCGCTTTTTAGCGCGTACTTATAATAAGCCTTTGGTGCCCGTTCATCATATGGAGGCACATGCGTTACAGGCGCGCCTAGAGCATGACATACCATATCCATTTTTATGTTTGTTAATTAGTGGGGGTCATTGTCAGTTAACGTTTGTACGTGGCCCGCATGAATTTCTATTACTTGGCGAAAGTTTGGATGATGCTCCCGGCGAAGCGTTTGATAAAATTGTAAGACGTTTGCGTTTATATATAAATCCAAAATATCGTCAATGGAGTGGCGGCCGAATAGTTGAGGAAGTTGCAAAGCTAGCGAAACAACCGGAAGCATTTCAATTCCCTTTACCGCTGGCACAAACGCGCGACTGTAATTTCAGTTTTGCTGGTATTAAAAATAATTCCTTTCGTTCCATAAATAAACAAGAGAGAAAAGAAGGTGAGTAAATTTCAAAAGTATTTTTATTTTGTGTAACAATAACTATACCTTAGACCATTACAAATTCTGAACGTGTTAACTTTGTTTAATGTTACGCATGTATCGAACTCGGAAAAAAAAAAAATAATCCAAAATACCTGTTGCCAATGTTATCTGATATAATCAATTTATTATGCATACATTATGGCTTTCCATATAAGGACACGTATAGATTACCGTTGTACAGTATATATGGACTGGACAAGATGTATACAATATACAATTGTCTAAGCGATTGTATTTGAATTTACAGGCACTCCGCCCGATTCGGCTATTAGTAATTATGCAGATTTCTGTGCCGGACTTTTGCACGCTGTTAGCCGTCACCTAATGCATCGTACACAGCGAGCATTAGAATTTTGTATTGCGCGCAACTATTTTGAAGCGAAGCCACGTTCGCTGGTGGTATCAGGCGGCGTAGCAAATAACGATGTCATTTTCGATGACTTATCAAATTTAGCTAAGCATTATAATTGTGAAACATATCGTCCTTCTAAAAAATATTGTTCGGACAATGGAGTCATGATAGCGTGGAATGGTGTCGAACAAATTTTATCCAATTTTCAAAGCTTACGATGGGATTATTATAATTTAGATATAAAGGGTAAAGTTCCATTAGGTGTAAGTATAATAAATGAAGTAACCAAATCCAATATGAAATGTAAATGGATACAGCCCCGACGTGTGGCAAACGAATGATAGCGAACTAAAAAAATATTATTACATTTTTATTTGGTTTTTACATAGGCTGTCGTAGTGTATGAGTGCTTGTTAATGTTTATATAAATATAAAATACACATACAGCAATTGTTATATAGCCGAATGCAACTGAAAAAGCTCGATTTATGATATTTTATAAGCACATTATTATAGAGATAGAAGAACGAATGTAACTTAAAAAACCGAAAAAAAAAAAAAGCAAAAGTTCGGCATTTTTCCTTCTTTCACATCTAACGTTCATAATATACCCTGTAATACAAAGTCTTTGATCGCCAAATGCTGTAACTGTTATCAAACTTTAATAGGTAGACACCCTCCCCCGGGTAAGCATGAGAGCCCACGTACACTTCGTTAAAGCATTCACGTCGATAGATAGGTACTATTATTGAAATGGGCGCCTTCGACGGGGAATTGTTTGGTAATGAACTGCGCTCGTTTGTCAGTGAACCACATTCCAAATCTTCGTTGGTCGATAAATAGTCTTCGTCAAGGAATTCGTCTTCGTCATCGCTGTCACTTACGTGCACTGTAACTTCTTGTGTGATTGGTTTACTCCATTCAAAGTAAATGCCAAAACCTATGTCGTAATTATCCGTAGCAAATTCCCAAAATATACACTTTCCATTGGCGTTGGTGGGAACCCGTACCTATATGTGTTTCCAAAATATACCCAATAAAATGAATAATTGCAATAATATGGCAAACACTCACCGTTATTGTGTCGCCGTGACCTACAGTTATAACGCCGTCGCCATCTCCCGCTGATACATCAGCTTTAAATTCCTCTATATCTGGACGTGTCCAAATTTTCGCCGGCTGTATTATAATGTAATCATCTTCATTGCTATTATTTATTTGTTGCTGTTGTAGCTGCTGCTCCTGCTCATTTGAGTCGCTTTTGGGGTTTAGTTTTAAGTTCATCATATCGTTGGTCAAGTCGTCCTGTGTTAAGTCGACGGTGTCATGGTTTTGATTCTCAAGGATTACTTGATTTTCACTGTCAGGTGTAGGATTGTCTGCACCCACATTGTTGAAGTTGTTGTTGTTATTACTGGCCGTGCTCTGTTGCCTTTGCATATGTAATTGTTGCATGTACTGATGATAGTGTTCCTGTTGAAGTTGATGAATTAAAACCGCTTGCTGTTCGGGATTACCGGGAAATTGTTTCTCCGCATAAGCCTGTAATTATAGAACGATGATCATTTTTCGATAAATTATCAATATAACAGTCTTGCATTTTGTTTTATTACTACTTAACAAAGACTATGGAATTTTGAAGAAAAAAACTTTAAAAATATTTCATCTATAAATTGGATGCAATCTGCGTAATTTGCATTATAGTGTCGAAAACTATGCGTTTCTAGATTTTTGCTTATGTTTGCAGACAATAGAATAGAAATGTTCAATACCTCTATGCTAATGGGATTCGATGAGATTAAGAGGTAAACACTTGACTTTCATCCGCTTGCCTTTAAATTTTGACTGAAACAGTAAGATAAGACGTTTTAACAAGGATCAAGCCATGTTTTTGATAAATTAAAATTTTCCCGATCCACAAAAGATTTTGAATTGACTATAATACATAATACATAAACCCAAATCGCCCTTATTTTTGTTTTTTAAAATCAATTTTTCGAAAAAAATAATGCAACGCTCGCTAGATCTCGAAATCTTTTCAGCATTTTCTTTCCGAAAATTTTCTGTCTTTTTTGTTCTAAATGCAAACTATGCCTCATAGGTATAGAATCCAGCTTTGAAAATTCTTTTCATAAGTGAAGATCCGAACATTAATGAATTTTTTCATTTTTTTTTTTTTTTTTTTTGCACAAAATGATCCAATTGTTGATGAACGCAAAGTGAAACTATTCCTCAAGGAATATTTGTGCCATGTTGTTTTCTTATAGCGAGTAGGTGTTTATAGACCGATCAATTTTAAGAACAATATGTGATATGAAGCGCAAACCATAATTTTTTGTCGATATCGTATAGACCTCAATTATTTTACAATTCGATCGACGGGTGATCGTTGCCTAGTTTTGGTACCCTATTTTAAGTCTGGCTGCTGCGAGTGTTTCATTAGCAACAAACAAACGGGAACGGGTGGGCTTGGTTAAATCGGCTTAGATGCTACGAAACGTATTCCCTAGTTTCACGAACGGAATCTAATTTGCGTCCATTCTTCATTGATGAATGCAACAAATTCGAGCAGCCGTACGCAAGTTACAAAGAGAAATTATAGTAGCCATAGGTCGGTTATAACATTTTCAAAGCATAAACAAGACATATTTTGTTCTCACAATATTGTAAACTTAAATTTCTGACGAAGGTTTTATGCGGCTTTTTAAATTTTTTTTTTTTTTTTTTTTTTGGACAATAAAAAAAGGATTGCTGCAATTTTTTTTAGACGGTTTAATGGCAAACGGGCTGTACGAAAATTTCTTATAGTCAAGTCAGCGCCATACGTACGTAGGTAACGTAACAAAATCTATGAGCTGGAAAAACTTGAACGAAAACATTATTTTACATGGGTCTCATGACAGTTATTTAAATTAAAATCAGTCTACCATTTCTAACCCAAATAATAGAAGCACTGCCTTTGCCTTTATGATGTCACTATAAGCCAAATTTTCCGATTTTGGCTCTGTAATCTGGAGGAAGTTTAAAGCCAACCGGATCAACATCTAAAAATTTGCAACAATTCTGAATAATTCCGGTCGTGGAACTTTTTTTTCTATTTTCGGCTGTTTGTAATAGATGTCCTCGGGGTAAAAAGGGTTTGCAAACACTCATACAATTTGTAATATGAGACTTCGTCGGTATTTCACCTTGAATTGTTGATATGTTTGTTTATTTAAAGCATCCTGCAATTGACGTCGTTGCATTTCTTCTTTATATCCTTCTTCTAACATTTCCTGCTGTTCTCGTTCTCTTTTATCATTTTCTAACTTCTCTAACTCCATACGTCTTAGCTCTTCTTTCAAGGTTTCATCTCTGTTTTTGCGTACTGCTTCTACATACGGGCGAAATGCATTGCACATGGTGTCCAATAAATCAATGAAACCCTCCATTGCCTGCTCGCGACTGATATTTCCCAGCATTTGCCAATGCAAACGGCGATCACGGCCAATTACGTCCAACACTCCTAGGGCGGGTGCATGTTCCGGATCAAATGGACCTAAAGACGCCTGCTGTTTAAAGGCTATCAATTTAAGATTATCCTCATAAGAGAGATGTACAGCTTTTCCGGAATTTTCTGGCAAAAAAATATCAATTTTATTAGTTATACTTTTTTCTTTTTTGATGTTAATTTCTCTTACGTTTGTAAAATTGCAGAGCAATGCGATACAATTCTTGTAATGGAAACCCCCATTTTTCCAACTCAGCTAAATTATTATCCATTATCTGTTGCTAGATACTGTTCGAGTGCGTGTAATAAAAACAGTTTTCTAAAACCCTTTTTTTGTCCTCATTCATAAACAAATGACGAAAAACAAAAAAAAAAAAACTTATCTACTGTCAGAGTTTTTTTTTACTAGCAGAGTTTAGCGTTTAATGTTTTGTTAAAAAATTTGGGATTTTTTGCCGGCAATGATATTTCTGTGCTGGCGGTCTTGGGGAAAAAACGCCGTAAAGACTGGGAATTAAATTACTGATGTTCGAAGCAACGTCTTGTTGGTTGGTGAGCGTGGAGGTGGGAGATGTGACACAATAAAGCTTCGCCTCGTTTTTGGATCTGAGAACAAAAGTTGAACATCAGGGAAACAATACAAACGAACACAATAAAGTGCGCATCCCGAAAAATTGTTCAACTTTCTACGAGCCTGGGTATCAACTTGCAAATCATATGGTTTTGTACGTACAAAACAAGGAGACAAAGTTACAAGAAATCAAAATAACTTATTTCAAATTTACAAACTATTTATCTAACTTTATGTTTCATATTACGTTATATTGTGCGGAATTTCGATTTTTTATATTATTATTATCACATATTATTTTCAAAGAAATGGAAAAAAGCAATAAAGGCGATTAACATTGAACTTGAAATATATTTGTCATATGTTCTTATTAAAGTACATTATATTAAAGAGTAATCTTCAAATAAAGGAACATTTAGTAATAATAAAGGATATTCTATAACATCATAAAATTTTTTTATTAGTCAATTCGAAAAATGAATATTCAATTTCAAACAAGTTTTGCTTTTTTTATGTTAATTATTATAATTTTCTTTGCTAATCGGACCATATTTTTTCTAAAGGAAATCATTACTGAAATGATATGGTAACGCAGACAAGCGAGGTTTTTATTGTGTCAACGCTTTTTCTTATTTAATTTGTGGGAGTATAAGCAAAGGTGGTGACGACTATTCTCTTTAAGTTCAAAATTTATATAATTCTTGGCTATTTCATACTAACTCCAATTAATTTGTATTGTATGCGTTGTAATTTTAGCTTATATTAGAGATGAGCATAGCAAGCAATAAGTCGATACATTTTCAATTTAAAATAAATTTGACAGAACAATACGTGTTAGCATTTTTTTTTCATTTCTTTAACTGCCCCAGTGAAGTCTATTTCGATGCGCTGCTTCCTTTATATTATTTGTTCTTTATTCTTTGTTTTTCTAATCAATCAAAGAGTTTATTTGTTTTTGTATTAATTTTTTTTATTTTATTATTGTTATTAATATTTAATCATTTTACTTGCATTTTTTTCGTAATCTTTCTGATAGAATAATGTCATATAACATACTTCCTATTATGCGTACCATTTGAAGCTTATTTATTCGAAAAACGCAATTACACTTCAATTACAGTCGAACCCCAACTTTACTAAGGCCCAAACAAAAAACTCTGGCCTTTTTTACGCATCCCAGCAAATTTTTTTGAATAACAAAAGAGGAAGAAGACAGAAAAAGAAATCGAATACAATGTTTTGGAAAGGGTTTGCTTTTTGGCAACGTTTTCGAACGTCTTTTTCAAAATTGTTGGTTTTGTAAGAAAACTATTTTCAAACATTTAAAGAAATTTAAATTTGATGAAATTGATTAAGCTTGTTGAAAATTAAATTATTTCAATATTAAAATTGCAAAATATATACTCTCATGAAAGAATTCTCAACTGTTACGATTATTTTCACTTCTTTTATCTTTTTTTAGGGTTTTCAATGCGGTCTCTGCTGCGATTTTTTGCAAAATAAATACTTCCTATACTTTACAGTCAATTATAATTGGTAGACACGTTGATGGCACTTTCCCTTTAAAGATTTGCAGACTTTTTTTATTAATTTCGCGTTGACTCGTTTTAGCAAATTGTAAATTGTTATATTCAAATTTTTGCTGATAGTGTATTGAAGGTAATTGCTCCGAAAATTGCTTTCAGCGACTCCAATTGGTAGCAGAATTCGACCCATTTCAAAGATGAAGAATATTCTATATCTTTAAACATTTATTTAGATTTTGCGAGATAATAACATTTAAATGGTTAAAGCATATATACGAATTTCGTGATTTATAACTTTTAGTATTGGGAACAATTATATGGTTGTCTGTTCAATACTTTGCTTAAAGGAATGTATCTTAATTATAGCTGTTACAAAATATACTACAAACAAATCGTGAGACGTTTCACTTACCAAACATCTATGAGATATAACGTAAAGTTTTTTTTTTCTAACATTATGATTCGAAATTTATGGAGCACGTATAATGGCTTCATATGCAGCAAAAATCATCGGTGCAACTTCGACCGAGCGTGATTTCAAGCTAAGCGTAGCATCAGGATTACCTGGTTGTAATTTCAATTCCAATAGTACCCATATGTTATTGGTTAATTTAAGGGACTGATACAGCATATCTTGGCCTTCCACATTGCGTTTGGCAATGGTGAAGACGTTATTAGTTGTCATTTTAGAGGCAATGCCGTCCGTAGTGCCGATTACACCACTTAAGCTATATTGCATCTCATTGGCTGCGGGTATTTCTTTCCAAGTGTTCAAAAATACTCTTTTATCCAGTTGTCCATCTTCGGCAAAGAGAACGTTGCCGTGAACCAAACAGGCAAAATAGAATATACCGATATTATTCTTAACGGCCACCTGAAGATTGTTTAAAGGTTCCATACGTTGTATTGGCCCTTGGGTGGCCAAAGGTAAGCTTACTTCCGAAGTTTGATTAGGAGGCAAAGGAGCTACTTGTAAAGGCTGGCCAGGTATTAGACCGAAGCTGTTTTTGTTAAGTTGTATAGCAAAACTGTTCATGGGTTGCATTGCTTTATTGGTAAATTTCATTTCCATAAAAACTTCGCCATTACGCCGAGAAAAACTGCCTTGTATTTCCAAACCTTTACCCTTCTCCGCGGGTAGCCAAACTATTTTGGGTATTTGCAATCCAATATTCAAAGCATTGCCGCCCAACCCGAATATGTCTCCCAATAAACTAGTAGCGCCTCCACCAGCAGCCGGCTCAGTCGGAGGGCCACCTAGCTAAATAAATTTAAAAACCATTAATAATTCTTTGAAAATTACAAACCATGAATTACCAATATGTCTAAACCACCGCCCAGCAAATCTACACCCATATTGTTCGGGGCCGAATTGGGCATCGAAGGCGCATTTATATCCATAGATAGTAAATCTCCTATCAAAGATTCTTGATTGGGTATAACCATAGCTTCTCCACCACTGCCACTGGTCTCTGTTTCTCCCACTGTATTGGCTCTGTTGGGTAGTGATTTGCGTACACCGGCACCGCGGCCCTCTACAAATGCTGTAGGTGGTTTATGATAAACGCTAGCCAACGAACTAATGTGACAAATCAATTCGTCTAGTAATGTAGGTTCTAATAAATCAGTTTCCTCTGATATTAAAGGCTTATCAGCCAGTACCACTTCCTTAGCAGCAGCCGGGTCTGTAGATAACAGACGCCAATAAATGAAACCACGGTCTCTTAAATCAGGATTATCCGAATCCTGAGTTGCCAAAGACAAAACGTGTTGGACTAACTCCTGCGTATCAGAAGGACGCTTTAAAAACAGTTTTACGACCGCTGTTAGAAGTTGTAACTGCACTTGGGCGTTTTCATCTTGAAAACCTTCCAGGAAACTGTCCAATAATTCGTCGGCATTATCAATACGTTCGGCATATTCACCAATAATCCAAACCATAGAAGCTCTTGCCTCTGGTTCATCTAAGGTATCCAAATTCTCGCACAGAGTGCTGATGATACTCTCGTATTTGTTTGGATATTTACGGAAAATATCTTTTATGACAACTATGGCCTCCTGCACTACATAATTGACTTTCGTTTGTATAAGATCAAGTAAAGTGGAAACACAACGTTCTGCAGAGGGTTCTACCTACAAAAAAGAGAAAAATGAATTCTAACAAACTTTTTAAAATATGCGTCCCATTCTCAAACCTTAATAGCGCATCGACCAATAGCTCTCACAGCTTTCCGGACGAAGTCCACATCGACCTCGGTAGCATATTCTTTTAATTCGCTCAAGACTTGCGCTATATTGCTTTGATTAGCCAAACGTATCATAATATCTAACTTTTCCAATTTTACATATATTGGATCGTTATACTTTACAAAGAACACTTTCATTTCATGTTTCAAGATATCGGGACGTTTCTGAACAATTAAATTGATGTTACGCAAGGCTACATATTGTACTTCGGGCTCGGAGGATAATAGAGTAACTAAAGGTGGTGCCAGTTTTTTAGTTAAGGTAGCACAAAAGTCGCTATCACTCGAAAGCATTTCCAAGAGCTTCATTAAAACTTTAACGGCGCTTAAGACCACTGCAGCATTGGCATGAGCCAATCGTGGGGTTATACGTTCGCAAATAGACTGAGCTTCCCTTTCATCTTTTGGACTGTAATTGGCCAGCGAGTCTAAAATAAAAACTTGTCCCCACTCAGTGCACTCATTGAGAGCGGTCAGCAGTTTATTAATAGTGACCGAATTCATTTCAACTAATGGTTGGCCTGATTGACTCGATTCATTGATTTCGCTTAAAGCGGCTACCGCATTGGCCACAACCATGGGATTTGAATCGGATAATAAATCTTTTAGTTGATCTAAAAAGCCTTGATCCTCTACCATGGACGAAGAGATGTCGTATAATTTAGCTACGCAGACAGCAGCTGTTTTGCGGACATAAGGATCTTCGTCTTTCAAGCATTTGCGCAAAGGTTCGCACAAATATTCAGTTATTTTATCAACACGTATACAACCCATTGTACGAACAGCCAAAGCTCTTATCAATGGATTGGAATCTTCGCAATCTTTGACAAAGGTGTTAACAGCCATAATAGCCATATCGGGTTGAGATTTCGCATAATTCATTAAATACAAATAAACCAATTTTTTTAACTCCAAATTGTCAGTTTGCATACAATTTACCACATCGGGAAACAAAGCCGATACATCCTTTCCTACTGTCATACTGGCAATGACCTAGAAAATCAATTATATCATGAAGCTTTAATATTGATTATATTATATATATATATATATATATATATAGATATACGCTTAAACCTTTTTCACTGCCTCCTTTTTCTTTTCCTTCTTATCATTATTTAGTTCCGATTTCAATTCGAAAATTTCACCCTTTTTGGTGGTAGTAAAATACTTCGAATCGGTCATCTTTTATTGAGATTGCAACGTCTTTCTGAGAATTAGAGTGAAAAAAAAAACCAAAACGAATAGTTTTTGTGAATGAACTTCGATATTTTCAATCAAAAAAACAAAAAAGTAAAAGTTTCTAATGTTTTTATGGGGCGTGTCTAACGTTGTAAATTATCTGAGAATTTTCTTATAAAAGTATAATAATGTCGCATTATAGATTCATATTTTCTTCTCTCTTTTTGTATATTTACGCTTTCTATTATTACACTAAAATTTGAGTTAATTCCCACAAGTAATTTTTTTATTTTCTGAGCACAAGTAATTTTCTTATTTTCTGAAAGCTTTCAGTTTTTTCTCTATTAGAAGGCAAAAAGAGTAATGTAGTTGTTAGATTAGATATATAATGGCTGACAAATCATTAATAGTGTCACCTCGTATTAATTTCAAAACTCAAAGTGTAGCCACATGATAATATATGTTATTTCTATTTTCGGGTTGAGACTCCAACTTTCTCCACATTTTACAAAACTTTATGGGAATTGACAAATCATATGACTTCGCCTATATATAAACAAATAACACAATAAGAAAACAATGATGAAGAGCAAATAAAAACAGTTTATTTTAAATTTAGAAATTATTTATCTCATATATGTTTATCTTACACAAACGTAGTTTTTTATATATTATGTGAATTGCAATTTTTGTTTTCTAAGAAATGAAAAACAAATAAAAAGGACCTTTAAAGACTTTAAAGTTGAAGTAAAGAAATGTAATCACCAAATTGTTTTTTAGACAGGCGATAATTGATGCTCTATTAACTTCGGTATTTTTTTTTCTATATAAATTTGTTTATCTATATGTCTTTGAAAAGAAAACCCATGACCAAGAGTGCCAATTACTATTGATCATATTAATCGATCTAAATAAGTTCGAGATCTCAGCAACCTACTGTTGCTTTTTATAAACCTATTGTTTATGTTTACGTTAATTTTTTTATTTTTAGTTCTAAAACCATATGTTTTTGTTTACATTTTCCTGTAAAATAATACAATACTGCGACTGTCCATTGCTTAACCATTTCAGAGTTTTTAAGCTGTAAACGCCAATGACGCGTCATTGTATCAGCCTCCGGTAGTTATGAGTCTATTTTCGATAGCTGACGTCCAAAGACCTTCCACACAATGATGCGTTATTCCGCTGTTTGGGTTAAAGAGACGCAAGCGATTTACCTTATCATTTCAAAAGAGAAGGCAACAAAATCGATTTAGATCCGCACTACAACATATGGTTTGAGAAGTCAAAATAAAGAAATCGACGTAAATGCAAACAATAAATGCATGAAAACAACAATAAGTAAATTGATGTAAAAGCAAATTATACTTTACAAATACTTTTGTGACGTAATAAAACAAAGTAAAAGAATGGGTTAAAAATGCTGTGATTTGACAATTGGACATACATCACCTTTATTGCTTGTATTCAATTTTTATAACGTAAGGTAGAATACAAACTAAAATTTTAAGCCGCATAGCATGGAAAAGATTTAAATTAATAATAAAAAAAAAAAACATTATATTCGGTCGTGGGCGAATTTTTTATACCCATCACAGTGATCCTAAAAAGAGGAAAGAACTAAATTTTCATATTCTACAATATTGAATGGGCGCGGCTGATTTTTTCTATTTTCAGAATCACCGCGGTTGTACTCTATGAGTAGCAAGCGAAAGACACAGAAAGCAGAGGTGTTCACAGTTTTTGTTATATAGGCGGGAGCGCGTTTTGGGAGGGTTGTTTGCAAAGTTCGGATCATGTTCCAATTCTTTTACAAGTGTATGGGCAATACCTTCATTTTTGCGAACGGCAGAATGAATGTTCACAAGATTCATTGCACAGACGGACAGGCGGACGTGCTTAAATCAATTCATAATTTAATGCCGACTCGCCGTAACTGTCGTAAAAAACATAAATTAGATAAATAATTTCTAGACTTAACTTAAAAGTCCTTATATCTTTTGGTCTTTTTTTTCATTTTATTTTATTTATATCTATGCCTAAAAAAGCAAATGATTTGACAATCCCCACAAAGTCTCGCCGTATAGTTAAAGCCCCATCCCGAAAATAGAAATAACGCGTCATTGTGCTAAAGCGCATATGGCGCGTTCTCATTTTATTTATTTCTGTATTTTTTTCTATATTTCAAAAATTGAAGAAAGCAAGAAAAAAAAAAAACTCAATTTAATATTCAACAAATAAATGTTTATTAATACCATTTCTTTTATGATAATTGTTATTAAAGTGTTAAATCTTAATTATATGTATTTGAAAACCACATAAAATAAAAGAGAGTAGAGATGGAAACTTTTGCTGGCTTTTAATAAATTACAATTTAATTAAGAATTAATGATTATATATTTAGATAATCTTTTTTCTTTTTTTTTTTTTTTTTTTTGTTATAAACTGAGTTAATAATGCAGGCTTTGTCATAATTAATATTTTTCTTTTTATTTGTAACATTCTTTTCTCTATGATGATGGTGATTACTTTACAACAATGTATGGCTTTGTTCTTTTAATTTTTAATATGAATATGTTATTAAAAAAAAAAGGAAGAAAGCATTATTATTAATTAATACTTTAATGTATGTATGTTAGATATTTAATAATGTAAAAGTGTATTATACAATAACAATAGTAATAATTATTTATTCAGATAATATATTTTATTTTCAATCTTGTCATTACAAGATGTTCTTGAAACGTTTAGTAAATATAAAAATGAAATAAAACAGATAATTAAATTAAAATTATTTTTAATTTCTGTAATTCAGTCTTTTGGAAATAAACAAAGAAAAAAAAAAAAAAAAAAAATATTTTTTTAAATCATCTTAGTTGTGCTTGCATTTACTTTTTAAGGAATCGAAAAATTATTTTCTTCCGTTAAGAGGAAAGAAAATATTTAAAAGGAAGCTATCTTCGCATGTTTAAGATCGACATCATTGTGAACATTACGAAAAATGTGAAGAAAATGCAGTGTGTTTTTTTTTCTCGAGCGTAGAAATATATCGGTTAAACGATTAGGACTGTACCTTTGCAACACAAACTCTTTGATAATTTCTATCAATGTCTAGATCGGATCTCTTATAAGTTGCAAGTAATAAGCTTTCCTGTTGATCTGCGTTTCATGATAATTCATTTTTGTTAACATTTTTTTAATGGAGTTGGAAAACAGTTTTGCTAAGTCTTCGATAAATATTGTGCTGTTGTTGTTGTATGATTTACTTATTTGTAGTAGTTGCATTGGATTAGTGGATTTTCAAACTTGAATTATGGCCTTGAAAAATTGAAAATTTCTTTTCCCCCCTTAACTCCTACAAATAGGAGTCGTCCATATCCAGCTTGGCGGATGAATGGATGGATGGATGGATCGACATGATTAAATCAGCTGAGAATTTTACATCCTTTAAACATACTGCTGAGTGCGAGAAAAATGGTATCAAAAATCAAATCATTCATTGCATCGCCTTCATAACTCTCAACATTGATTTGGAAATAGACAACGATTTTTGAGGTTATAAATAAAATCAATACAATTTTTCGGACCCAGCATTACATATGCATATTTTATGGGACCACTTATGCATATTGCTGGCTACAATCAGTATGTAAAGAGAAATGAAAATTCCTTCGAAAAATTGGATTGAATTGAATAATTATTTTCATTTTTTTGAAAAACAACGAATGAAACCCCAATTCCCTTAAATAGATATTACTTTAGTAATGGTTTCATTAACTGTTTCCTTTTTTTTATTTTTATTTTTTTCTATTTTCTAAATATAAATTAGTTTAGCGTTATTTTCTTGTTCTTCTTCAGCAGTTTTCATTGGTATAAGATTATTAGATTCTATTTATTTTATGTAAATGTTGTTATGTCTTTCTTAAATATAATAATTTGTCGGTTTATCTTTTCTTCTTCTTCTTCTTCTTCTTCTTTTTTTGCTTCGAGTAAGTTTTAAAGGTGGTTTCGTAAAGTGCTTAATTTTTGTAGTAATAACGTTTCATTTTGTATATATATATGTATGTCTTGTTGCATTTATATATCAATATCATTTCTCTTAGGTGGAAGTTTTCTTGAGTACTATATATAACTTAATTTGTTTCTATTATTTTTTTTTTTTCCTTTTGTTTTTGCCTTAGTTGTGGTTGCGCTACATTTCTATAGCCTTAGCTATCTCCCTTTTGCCTTGTGTACGATTATTAACCAAAGATATGAGTTAGATCTGCTAGATTGTTTTTGTGTTCTTTTTTTTTTCTTTTTTTTTTCTTTTTTTTTATATATAAAAATAATCCCATTTAAAATATATTTACATATGTTAGATATGTTATTAATATTAAATGAATAAAATAATGTGCATAAACAAATTGAACAATATATATATATATATAAATTAAGATTTTTATATTTTTGGTATGTAGTGTGTGTTTAAACTTTGATTTTGCTTAGCTTTTTTAGTTTTAAATTCTTCTTATTTGCAATATGGGTAAGTAAATATTTGATTTTTAACTATATTATTAATAATAATATACTATATGTATATGTTAATGTAAAATATACAATAAAAATACTTATACATATTGGATACTTTTTAACTTGTATATATATATATATATATATATATATATATATATATATATATATATATATGTACATATATACATATATATATGTATATATATATATATTTGTTTATTTAACCGCAAGTATATAGTTTCCGTTTAATATGCATTGTATATAAATATAATTTAGTTAAATGTATATATATATAATAATAAAACGTATAAAATAGTTTTGTTTTTTTATTATACTCGCTTTTAAAAAGATGAAAAACTAAAGGAAACAAAAAATTAAATTTTATTTTAAGATCTAATCATTTATGGGGTAAGTAAATTATAGTACTAATCATTTTTCCCCTTTTTTTCAAACCCTACATCGCTTGCGGTATTAGGGTATATTTGTGCGGTTTGTGTGAAGGTGTGTAACACTTAAAAGAATTTAGAATGGACATACCGATCGACCATCAAAGTCTGAGTTTGCGATTTAAGTTTCTATAACTGTAGTCAGTAGTCTGGTAAGGGTCCTTGTGAGTTTTGCTATCAAAAATGAATCGAATTGAACTATTTGGCTACCGACTACCGAAGTTAATTCTACAAATTGGTTGCATATAAGTCTGAACCATCTGTTTTTCCGGACCCCTTCTCCTATGAGAAGTAAACCTGCACTTGCAGCAGGTATAGTATAAGTTTTTAATATTTTATAAGGAAGTTTGGCGGAGAATTGCGTTAAGCAAAATAGATGTTTAATGATTCTTGGCCTTGCTCGACTAAAACTTTTTGATTTGTTTGTTTAAGAGCGGATTGTGTCTAAAACACAAAAAAAAAAAAAAAAAAAAAAATTACGATTATGACGAGTAATTATATTTCGGGTTAAATGAAAAGAATTTTGAAATTATAGAGCATAAATTCTCGATCTGTTTGAGTCATTTGGGCAGACGCACATGCTCAGATGTATTCCGAATTTGAAATTGGCTTTTGCATCTTAAAATGATTTAAAAAAAAAAAAAATGCAATTTTCATTCTCTATAACATCGGATATGCGTAGTCAATTTTTGCCTACAGCGTTACTCGCAGAATATGTGTTCAAATTTTTGTTGATTTGTCTGCTCTAGTTGATGAGTAATGAGCGAAAAGGCAATTTTATATTCCTCTTTGAAAAGCCGAGGTATTTTCAGTTTTCGTAGTATTGTAGGCGTGTTCGTTCACCGATTTCGAATTCTATCCGCAAGCAAGAATTTTCAATGTTTCTGCTAAACTTGAAGTCGATAGCGTAACTTCCGCGGCCACGAATGTGTTTACAATGGAAGGACAGAGGGACGTGCTTAAGTTAATTTAGAATTTGACGCTGATCACAAATATACATGTGTCATCGAATCTCTGAAGCTTCTTTTTGGATCTTCCAAACGTTTTTGGTGGGCATGCAAAGCTAGAGATACGATTGGCATATGTTTCACTTGAAGCATCAAAAATTCGAAGCTTATAAGCATTTTTACATATTTTCCTTTTTACCTTTTCAAGGAGAATATCCAAAGAAATTTCATATATATGTAGTTAAAGAGTCAATCGATAATATTACGGTAAAAGAAAAAAGAAAATAAAAAAAAAAATAAAATAAAAAATGAATAATATAAACGAATTTTTTGTTTTTTTTTTCATAACTTTGCAGACACTTGCGATTATAATTATTTATGTGTGTTGGGTTTAAAGAATTTCTTTAATTATTTATTTATTTATTTACTTTTTTATATATATGTTATACGAAAAGTTTAGGTGGCCTTAGTTATATTATATATTTACATTTAATTTTTGCATTTCATTACAATTCTTTTGTATTTTTTGTTGGATTTAATTTAATTTTTTTTTTTTTTTTTTTGTTTTATTTCGTTTTCGTATATATATTATTTATTTTCTTTTAATTTTAATTTTATAAGTTTACTTTTAATTTTTGCTTCATCTTATTTAATTATTAATAATAATTTATTAGAAGTCAAAAGAATAAATATTAAAAATTGTAAATATTCTAAGCATTGCTCATATGTTCTTTTTTGTATATAATTCGGATTTTTTTTTTTTTTTTGAATTTACTCAATTGAATGAATTGAATATTAAATGAAAATGAAATAATTTATACGAGTAAAAGGAATTAAATAAATGATGAATAAAGTTTCATATGTTTAACTAAATGCTAAATGCCAATCTTATCTCGATTTTCTGTTATGTTAATTGCTGGTTGTGGCACTTAATCTTCCCATTTTGGGAATTGCGTTTCATCTATAAACATACTGAACGAACCGCTTGTACTATTGTTAGCATTCAAGGCTTGATTTGTAGCGTTTGTCGTTCTAGGGTTTGACGGTGACGATGATGTAGCCGATGATGGTTTTCGAGTATTGCGGGTCTCTTAACGAATCCAACGAATCAAAGAAAATCAATAAAAATAAAGATATGAATATATTTACAGTAGGACTTTGTCTTTTGGCAAGAGGTGTAACAATTTCGAATTCAGAGCCATTTTCGAATAATTATCGTAGCATTGATTAAGTAAAACTTAGAAGGCTTTCACGCATATGCATGCGGTGTAATTGGATCTGCCACATACGAACTGACCTGAAAATGATGCTATCGACGATGGACAATATTTATTTTCAATAGAACGGCACCGTCTATCGCACTGCCCGCGAAACGACGGTCCTTTTATGTAATTGATTGAAAAGGACATATTTTTACGAAAGAAAGGTGAAAGATGAAAGTTGTTCTCAATCTCAAGAATAAGGATAAGGATGTAAGAATGTAATGCTTAGCAATAAGCGAGAAAACTGTTTAACTCATAATGAATTTTCTAGATTCACCAGTTATTATCTGTATCTGTGTGTATATGTAAGAAAATATTATTCGGTTATTTTATAATGATCATCGTGATCCTAAGAAGAAAAGGAAAGAGAATTGAGTTTTCATACTCTATTACGTTGTGTGAATGCGGCTGATGTTTTCTATTTTAAGAATAAAAGGGTATGTGCTCTAAGTAGACGTGTCTTTCGATCGATTCATTTTTGCGGTCAAGCCAGAATATTGATAACACACATTACACAGACGGACGCTCGGATATGCTTAAATCGGTTCAACATTTGGTGCTGATGACAGAATATTTGTACTGTCTCTGAAGTGTCCCTGTGGGCATTGCAAACGTTTTGACAAAATGAATATGCCCCTGACCGCCTTCGGTGATGGGTGTGGGATGCGATGTTATTCCTTTTCACCACGACGTATAAGTAACGTTTAAGGAAAAGTTTCATTTTATTGAGGAGTATGCGCAACAAGAATTCCAGGCCCGAGGGATTCGGATTAAAAGAGAGCAATGGACATATGTAAATCGTTTGTTCACATCTAAAGTGAAGAAAGAGGACATTTCGAAGTCTATCGATAATGGCTGCTGTATATTCAATGACGAATTTCGTTGATGCACCCCCCCCCCCCCCCTCCCCGCCTTCCACCCACCTAACGTTTTACTAGTCGTTGCTTAACGTATATAGAGAACTTACTTGTTGATTGCTTTGTCGCTGCCTGTTGCGTGTTATCTTTGCTTGCCCACACCGGTTCATGATTTTGATTCATATAGGATGGTTGATCCCACACTGCTTTCTCTTCTCTACTTGTCCGATTCTTGTTCTGCATAAAACAAATAAATTGATGATAAACTTTTCTCATTATTTGAAATTTCGACTGAATTGATTACTGTTTATGAAAACCTACATAATCCTTATCAACCTTTAACTCCAGCTCTTCGGTGGTCTGCTCGAGTGTACTGTGTGTTATGCCATAATAAAAGTACATAACGAAGCCCAACGACATCCATATAGTAAATCTAACTAAGGTCAAGATGCTTAACTTAAATATTAAATAAATATTAACAGTAATGGCAATGGCCGGAATAAATGGAAGTCCTGGTGTAAGGAACGCAAGAGCATATCTAAAACGTATATAGACAAGAAGATAGTACAAATAGGGCGGTGAATTTAATCATTTTGCAATAAAAGTTATGCTTTTTTTTACCTATTTTGTGGTTGTCTTGAGATAATTAATAATATCACAAATATGCCGATAAATAAAATGAAATAAATAAATATGGCGAAACCACCGGACAAGCCAATGGCCGCAAACAGATCCAAGAAGAATATGAGACCGAACATGAGGCCAACCAGTTTGGTTACATACATGCCTGCGCAGAGTTTTTCGAAGAAATAAAAACGAAAATTTAGGATTTTGAAAATTAAATTCTCGGTGATTATGAGATCAAGGTCTAAGCTGCAGCAGAATTTTTTGCAAAAGAAAAAGAAAAAAACAAAAATATATGTTTTTTTTTTTTTTTTTTTTTTGTTGACTCGCAAAAATTTTAACATTTGTATTGATATGACTGTGCAGCCTTAGCCAAGGTTCCGAAAAAAATAGAAAAAAAAAAAGAAAAAAAAGAGAAGTAAGAAAATTATATTCGGTCATGACCGAATTTTTTATACCCATCACTGTTGTACTAAAAGAGACTAAAAAGAAAGGAAAAAGTTTTATATTTTCATGCTCTATAATATTGGA